AGAGAGAGAGAGACAGAGAGAGAAACAAAGAGAAACACAGAGAAACAGAGAGACACAGAGGCAAACAGAAAGAGATAAACAGAGAGAGAGAGACAGAGAGAGAAACAAAGAGAAACACAGAGAAACAGAGAGACACAGAGGCAAACAGAAAGAGATAAACAGAGAGAGAGAGACAGAGAGAGAGAAACAGAAAGACAGAAACAGAGAGAGAAACAGACAGAGGCGAACAGAAAGAGAAACAGAGAGAGAGAGACAGAAAGAGACACAGAGAGAAACAGAGAGAGACACAGAGAAACAGAGACACAGAGGCAAACAGAAAGAGATAAACAGAGAGAGAGAGACAGAGAGAGAGAAACAGAAAGACAGAAACAGAGAGAGAAACAGACAGAGGCGAACAGAAAGAGAAACAGAGAGAGAGAGACAGAAAGAGACACAGAGAGAAACAGAGAGAGACACAGAGAAACAGAGACACAGAGGCAAACAGAAAGAGATAAACAGAGAGAGAATCAGAGACACAGAGAGAGAAACAGAAAGACAGAAACAGAAAGAGAGACACAGAGAAACAGAGACAGAGGCGAACAGAAAGAGAAACAGAGAGACAGAAAGAGACACAGAGAAACAGAGAGACACAGAGAGAAACAGAGAGAAACAGAAAGAGACACAAAGAGAGAAACAGAAAGAGACACAGAGAGAGAGAGACAGGCAAACAGAAAGATAAACAGAGACAGAGAGAGAGAAACAAAGAGAGAGACAGAGAGAAAGAGACAGAGAAACAGAGGCAAACAGAAACAGGGAAACAGAGAGAAACAGAGAGACAGAGAGACAAACAGAGAAAGAGAGAGAGACAGGCAAACAAAGAGAAACAGAGGGACAGAGAGACAAACAGAGAGAGAAAGAGAGACCTGTCACCTTCTGACAAGCAAAGTCCATGGAGAAGTCATATTTCACTTTAACGGTGGTGTTACCAGCTTAACTATTGCGAGAAAGGTCATAAAATGGAAGACAACTCGCTTAACACATGTTTCACTTAGCAAGAGAGAATTTGGGTTCCATTGTGGGTCGTAAGTGGAGGACTATGTCCCTGCTTCCCATTGTGGATTTTGGAAAACTGCACAGTTCAAAATCCTTTGTGGGTGAGCATCGGCATAGCTACGTCCGATTTATCTTCAGGTTAAGTGTATACAATTTCGGCTTGATGAATAAGATAATGCGTCTTATTCATCTGTTCATCATTAAACATTTGTTAAGGCCACAGTTGTTAACCAAATTGCTACAGTTGTTAAATTAATAACATGGTAGTTAATTGAATCTGGCTAGCTTTGAACTGATCACACTCATTTTTCTAAGCTGTTCTGAGCAAGGCTTCCCAGAGCATGAAGCAAACTCCTGGTCCCAACAAAAAACTCTTTTATTAATTGACTGAATTCTGCTCCTTCACCTCCAGCAAAGTCTTTCAAGGGAGGATTTACAGTCACAGACCTTCTCTTGCTCAGAGAGCTGCTAGGCTGAGATCTGCAGAACTTGGCAAGGAATCTCAGAGAGTCACAAACCAATTAAGCGAACTAATTGTCTCTCCTGCAAACTCCACTCCCCTGTCGCTCCTCTTTTATTTCCTCTGGGAGGGGCCATTCACCGTCCACCTGTGGCCTTACTCCCAAATCGACCCCTGTCCTTTAGCTGTCCCCTTCGCCTGGCCACTCTGCATATATGCACACTGGGAACAGGCTCCAGCTGTTCTTNTCTCACCAAGCTCCAGAAAGGTCTGGCCATCCTTGGAGGATGCTCTTCAAGGGTTTCTCCTGTGCTCTTTGCAACTCGGAGGAAGAGTTGAAGGGAAATGCTCCTCACATTTGCAGTACGTGGGAGTTTTGTTGAAAGCCAACCTTTCTCAGAGCAGGAATGTCATTCCTTCCACAAGAGGTCCATGCAACAAGTGTGAGGTCTGTTTCGGCTGTGGGAAAGGCAGCAAGGGAATTGCAAAAGCAGCAACACAGAATAAACCGGAGTGGGTGTTTTGGGGGAGTGCACCTTCATGTCGACAGAGGGCAATCAACCACTTAAAATGCCTTTACTGTAGCAAAGTTCCTCTCTTGATGGGCCGCGTTAAAGGTCTGGGAGGCTGCTGCTGGATTTGCTCCAGCACGCCCAATGAAGATGACACAAAATTGGGTAGGAGAGGTCGCCCCTGGAAGGCAGAAATGCAGTTCAAAACTGTCTTGTAGTAGCTTAGATGCAGCAGAATGAAGGAGTGCAAAGCTCACGTGGGAAACAAAAATCAAATGCACCAGTGCATCTGGATTGGTGATTGAGTGGTTGGCCGGTTGGTTGCTGACTCCTAGTAACCACATAGAGGGGTCTTCTTCCCTAATTTGGTTTTCTTCAGCTCTTCAAACAATACATTCCCCACCACTGTAATCAAATCCATCGACCAGGCTACCAGTCATCCCCTTCTGATCTTTCCTTTCACATTTCCCAGCATTATGGACGTCTCAAGAGTGGTAGCTCTTTGAATACCATGTCAAAAATATGATAATTCGAGTTTGGTCCTTTGTGACTCAAGTGAGATGTGTGGGTTGATTTTCTGCCTCTAATGCTGATTTCTGATTTCTTGACTATTCACAATGTTCTCCAGAGTCTTCTCCAGCACCAATCTTCAAAAGCCTCAATACTCCTCCTGTCCTGCTTCTTCAAAGTCCAACTTTCTCTTCCATTCAGTGTCACGAGGAAAGGGTTTACCACCTGCACGATTCTGGTTTTTGCAGATAGCAATAGCAATAGCAGTAGACTTATATACCGCTTCATAGGGCTTTCAGCCCTCTCTAAGCGATTTACAGAGAGTCAGCATATTTGCCCCCAACAATCCGGGTCCTCATTTTACCCACCTCGGAAGGATGGAAGGCTGAGTCAACCCTGAGCCGGTGAGATTTGAACAGCCGACCTGCAGAATTGCAGTCAGCTGAAGTAGCCTGCAGTGCTGCACTCTAACCACTGCGCCACCTCGGTA